TATTAATATTTCTTAAGGCAACCAAGTCCGCTAAATCTCACCCTGCTCTCGGGAGAGGCCTGTTCAAAGGAGACTGTGTCTGCACTGTCAGGGAATGTATCCCGGCAGCTTTGTTCTTCCTGTTGTACCTTTGATCTGCTACTGTTGAAGCAGATTAAGACACACCATGGCTCCGTAACCAGGGAGTAAGCCTTGGGCTTCAAGAAACTTAGCAGAAACTGGGTAAAAAAAAAACAGGAAAGCAATTAAATCTAACCTTTTGCATTTGTTCCCTAGCCTACAGGGTCAGATGACAAGAAGCCTTGCGATTGCTCCCCCATTCCTTGGCACTGGTCCTGCTTAATGTTTTCTGAAAGCCAAGCATAGCAGGCACGTTTGAAAGAAGGCGGCTGCTATAAGGCCTGAAAGATCCAGAATTAACCAGGTGCTAAGAAGCTCTTGGTAAAGATGGCCCAGCTGAAAGGTCTGCCTGAGGCAGCACAGACCCTACTGCAGGGATGGGAGAGGGAGAAGAGTGAAAGGTCATACCCCCGGCTACCGAGTCAGCCCCTGGGGCCACAGTCATTCATGGCAGCGAGTGCCCTGGTGGCTGCTAGGATGCACAGGAAGCAGACAGGCTCTCGACCAGAGCCATGAAGGGGAGCATCTCACCTTCCCCATCTTGGGTCTCACCAAGGTCACCTGAGGCCGATCACAGAATCCAGTCCTAAATCCAGCTCTCATAGTGAAGTCCCTTGTTATACCCTGCCAGGCCTCCAGCCTCGCCACCCAGAGTCAGCCTCTTCATCCCTTTCAGCCCACTGCTTTGAGAGGTGCTTGTTCGAGATAGCTTGGAAGGGAGCTCCATTGACACTAAGCTGGTGCTCTGAGCTTACCAGCTACTCAGGGGCAGGCGAGTCCACCTTCATCCATTCACTCCCTCCCACCTGCTGAATCAAATGGATAATAAAACACCCAACTGAGACCAGGATAGACAGAAGAGGCAGCAGCTACTGCAGTAATTACAAAACACCTTCAAACAAAGGAGAAATGCTTCCCCAACAGCAGGGGAATAGAGCCCATTGCAACAACGGCAGTCCCAAATTTCAGACTGCCGAAGAGAAGCACCCTGTCCAGACAGCCAAGTCATGGACTGCATGGGCATTCGGGGACATCTGACAATTGCCCTCACCGTTCTGAAAAAAAACCAATCTGCTGCCTGCTGCCCAGGGTAAGGTAGGAGCTGGATTTGAACAAACGGCAGCATCCATTGCCATAGAAACCAAGCTCAACAATAGCAGGAGATGCGTTTCAGTTAAAACAGCAGCGACACCCCCGTGGAAGCCTTGGATCCCGGAAAGATTTCTTTTTATTTCTGCAAATGTGAGGGCCATGAAGCAAAGCAAAACAAAACAGCTGAAGAGGAGAGGCAGGAAGCATGGTCACTGGGGCACCACAGCACCTCCAGCATCCCAGCCCTGCCCAGTTTGAACCACCACGCTCCTTTTCCCGCCAGACCTGCAGCAGTCGTGGGAGGGAGGTGCTCAGCAAGGGCATCTCGCCTGGCTGAGATCTGTAGCAGTATCCTCCAGAGCGGCATGTTACACAGAACACCCCGCAAACCAGCCATGGGTGCGAGATGAGATGGGTTCTTCCCACCCAGGCTCAGCTTATGCTCCTCCTTGCCACACTGCATACGTTTTGGCTTTGTTGATGTGTCTGGTCCATGTTTGGATCCACACAGAGGTAGCTCCATCCCCAGCAAGCCTGAGAGGGGATTTAATAGCAGCCTTCAACTCACTGAAGGGTGGTTCTGAAGAGGATGGAGCTGGACCTTTCTCAGTGGTGGCAGGTGACAGAACAAGGAGCAATTGGCTCAAGCCGCAGCAAGGGAAGTTGAGGTTAGATACTAGAAGAACTCTCTCAATAACACTGGAACAGGTTACCCATGGAAGTTGTGGAGTCTCCATCCTTAGAGATTTTTAAGACCTGGGTAGACCATGCCTTGGCTAGAACAATCTAGTTGGGGCTGGTTCTCCTCTGAGCAGGTGGTTGGACTAGATGACCTCCAGAGGTCCCTTCCAACCCTCATTTTTTAAGCTTCTCTGATTTGTGCTATATTTCCATGCTAAAGGCTGCCTAGAGATGACCACAAGAAGAGAACTAGTGATGGGCAGCTGTCAGTGCAGGCCCAAGCTGCTGGGAGATGCCTGCACATGTCGCTACAGTCTGTAGCCTTCCAGAAAGCTGTCAACTAGACACACAGGCATTCACGCTCCCCAGCCACAGGCATGCAAATGTAGCTAGCCCAGATCCTTGCTCTGGGGGGAGTTGTGACACTGCATGGAGGGGAAGGGAGGTAGGGAACAGAGAACTTGGAGCTGTCAAGCTAGGTATCCTGCTCTGGGGCTAAGGAAAGATGAACAAAGGTGAGAAGCAAGTTCCTTTGTCAGCTCTGGCAAACTCAAGCACATCAGTACAAACCTTGGACGTTGGATGTTATTAGACACCTTGAGGGACTGAAGGGCTAACTCATAACATGCCGCACATAGGATTTCAATCCATTTTGACACATGTTGAGGAACTTGCCTTTGCCCTTGAGCCCTAGCTCTCAAGTCCATGGGCTGCGTAAGGCAGAACTGCTAGTAAAGGGAATGACTAATGGCCTGCGAGGCATCCGAAAATGGTAACCTCTTCTCCTCTGCCTGTGGCCTGGGCTTTGACAACAGACAGAAAAACAGTCTGATGCAGACTCAAAGTCAGCAATCACTCCAAAGAGGATTGGGATGAGGGCCTAGTGCTCATCTGCATAGGGAAAGTCAGCCGTTACTGCCTAGCGCTTGCTCATCCTCAGCAAAAGCAGATGAGAACTTTAGCAGACGTTTGTATGGATACCACTACTTTATGTAAAGCTTGTTTAAGCCCCCGTAGCTCCTACACAGCGCATACATGGAACATTGAGTGGTGCCCTGCAGAGCAGTCTGCCTTCAAGGCATTCAAGATCACATCTAGTCCAGCCTCTTGAAAAATGTATGTAGCAACTCTGACACACAACCACAAGCGTCACACCCTAACCTGCCATGGGTAAACCCGGGGGACAGTAGCAGCTAGTGTCCTGTTGCTTCATGGATTGTTAAAATATACTCGGGATGTACAAGGATCTCCACGTTTGGAGGAAAAAAAAGGGGTGGGGGAATGACAGGGAAGGTGAAGGTGGCTCTTATCAGGCCCTGGAGCACTGGGTACTACCGGGAGGGTGGATTTAGCAGTTCTACTGAGCCTTGAAACTTTGATTTTCTCAATCATCTTGGGCTCGCTGGTAAGGGGGAAAAAACAACAAAACAAACCCAAAACAGTGCAATGAAGTACCACCTCCCTCTAAACTTAATCCAAAGGCCCTTGGCATTTACCCTGTGAGCTAAAAGGCTGATGAGTGGGGGTTCCTCACCACTGCGTAGGTCACTTGGCTACACTCTCCATCAGCCACAATTCAGGATTTCTGCCTCTCTGCAACAGCTTTTGGAAAATGAACACCACCATGAGCACAGTGAGCTATGACATACTCTATGGCTACAAATGAACTGTGGCTAACATCTTTCAGAGGGCCTTTAAATCACAGAATGCCAGCATCTGTAATAACCTGTTCCCACTTGGGCTGGTTTGCACAGAGCTAATTCCTGCCTCAGGCAAGGGTTGGACTAGATGACCTCTGGAGGCCCCTTCCAGCCTGACCTCTCTATGACTAACCCACAACTTCGGAGCACTTCCCACACATACTTCCAATACGACCCACTGGCCTCGTACCCAACTCATCTCACCTGTTGTTGCTACTTGGGGCAGTAAGTTGTAATTTCCCACTGTCGGAGATTTAACTCTTCCCCTGGGGTTGCAACATGAGATGCAACCTGCAGATTTCACCTGAGATGACTGTAGAAGTATGTTGCAACAGGGTTGTACCTTTTGAAAGAGAGGAAACCTTTTCAAAGAGAGCAAAATAGCCTGGCTGCTTTTGAGCTGTGACCAGGAGGGGGGCCTGCTCTGCAGTGAAGCCAAGGCTGTAAAAATCAAGAACAGTTATAGGACAGGAGCGTGGTTTCATACCCACATCTGCACACTTGTCAGCTCTTCTCCTTTCAATGCAACAGGAACAGACGTACAAGGGATGTGTGTATGATTGGGAGGGAGGGCAAAGGGCTTGTGTGTGTTTGGTGCAAGTGGTTTTTAAGGTGTCAGTTCATTCTCTCTCTCCAATCAAGATGCAGAGGTCACTTTGCATTTTTCCCCAAAAGAAGGAAGCTAATTGCTAATCCTGGAGGAGGGGCTCGGGGATATGTAGTACCTGGATCAAGGTCAGACCCTTCTGCACCTGCTGGTCAATAAGCTTTCAGTAGTAAGACGGCATGAATGGAATCCCAACGGCTGTCCTAATTCAGAGACAAACCTTCTCACTTCCAGCTGGTGCCATCTCTCCCAGGCATCTCAGTGCATTACAGTATCCAAAGGGAAAGGACTTGCCACAAAGCTCTGCTAGCTAATGCAGCAAAGCACCCATAATGCACTCCAACAAAAAGGATTTTAACTGTTTCTTGATTTAAAAGTATGCAGCAAAGCAGAGCAGTTCAGTCCCTTCAGGTGCACATCCACACCTGGCCATTTGCTTTCAGGGCAGATCTGCCTCCATTGCCACAAGACCACATCATGCAAACACAGAAATGGAAAAGCATTGTGGGTATTAGCAGGTAAACCACCCCAAGTACTTGAGAGTTTCCACATGAGGTAGTTCTGCTTTCCTTGCTTCTGACCACCACGTACGTGGCTGCACCCTCAACTGAAGGCTTTTCAAAGGCTTTATCCACAAGCACTGCTAAAATACTTCCCCCATGATAGAGGCATGTTTGGACACATGTCAAGCTCAGACAGGGCAAGGAAGAGGGTAGGAAGAGACCCTGCCCCCACCAGATTCTTATTTGCCTGAAGCCACGGTACTCCTGTCTGAAACAAGAGGCATCTTGAGGCGCAAGCAAACGGAAAGCAAAAACCCTTTATTGTACACAGTACAGAATGTAACGCAGCATTGCAGGAGACACACAGCCCTGCTCAAATAAAGGTTACTTCCAATCAATCCTCAGATTAACCCTTTCTGCACTGTAGACTTTCCACACCAAAAAAAAAAAAAAAAAAGAAAAGAAAAGAAAAAGAAAGATAAAATCCATCTGCTAGATGCAGGAGTCCGGTGGGAAGTGCAACAGTGACACTGCCACCATCTTTCATGACTGTACAGGCCCATTTTATACATCATGGGGAGAGTAACTTAGTCTACAAAGAGTTAATCTTCATATGCTCAAAAAAAAATAAAAATAAAAAGAATGAATCGGCCAAAACCCAAACAAGGTTAACTAAGAAGTGGAGGGGTGGGATCCTATACAGCATTTACAACAAAAACTTGTAGCCAGTTGGGAAAAGATGCATATATGTTTAGTATATATGAGTGGTACAGGCATCTGGGGAAGCTGGAATTGAAAGGGCATGATTTTTTGTTTTTATGTGGATGAGAACAAGGTTAGTTTATGGTGAGACACTCTTCGACACCCACCCCCTGGCATCTTTACAGCTTAACTCTTAAAAAAACCCTACCCCCCCACAAACAAACAAACAAAAAAACCCCAACAACCCTCAAGACATTGGATCAGACTGAACATATGAAAAGTGACACCGAAATTAAAAAGTCTGTTTTGGGATGCCCATGGCTCAAGCTGTCTCCAATCCTTTCAATCCTATGCAGGTTTAAAACATGAACAGGGGGACAGGTCGTTCAGTAGTAAGAGGACAGTCATGCCCAGGGTTATCCACTGCTGTGGCTAGGGCAGTTGGCCAAGAGGATTATCCATGTGTTATATACGTATAATTCCCAAAGCGCGTCTGTGAATGCAGGGAACTGTACATGCAGAACCCCAGCCGGGGTCCCTGCTGCCACCATGGGATAAGCACACTACAACTGGACAACATGTGGGTGTAACTTCCACTTGGGAGCCAGGAACAGAAAAGCATAGAGCATTTACCTGCAGATGTACCTGGCTAGGAAGTCCCTCCATGACCCAGCTGTGGCATCTCAAAACATCAAGTGCTATCCCAGGCCAAGAAAGCAGCAGGTCTGCAAAAAAAGTTAGCTTCACCGTCAGATACAAAAAAACCTACAAAAAATTGGTTAGAAACTTTTCCCTAAAATGTGATCCCCATGATCCCCTTCCTGTGAAATTAAAGCAACAGCCTTGAACAGGGAAGAGGAGCAACCGAAACACCTGGGAGGGCAGCAAGGGGGAGCAGGAAGCCGTTATTTCAGAGAACCAGAGCAGGAGCTAGAAGAGCTGTCCACAGTGGAAGGAGGGGGGTCTGTCTGGGCTTAGAGGAAACAAAAGGCTTCCTCTGGTCACTGGTGTGTCCCGCGTTCCAAATCCAAAGTGCTGACCCTACCGAGGTATACCAAGCACCACACTTCAAGGCTAAATCACTCAGACTACCTTTGTCATCCCCCACCCCCCACTCCTACCACCCCCCCGCCCCTCCAAAAAAAATCCATTGTCTGTGCAAATCAAAGCCCTTTCCAACATACAAGGCAGCTACAAGTATTGTGATTGATGCAAAGCAGATTGTCATGACAATTCGCTACACAGTCACACTGTCTATCCAAGTTCCACGGGCACCATCATGAACAATGGCCACACAGTCACGTGTCTGTCCCTAAGCAACGTGGCCTGGACCAGAGACTCCATTTTAGCTCCCTCCCCCAAAATCTCTTGGTGGCTGCAGTGAGTGGAGCCTTCAGACACTGGCAGTCCTAATACACCAGTCCTCGGAATACAAGGTTTGTCTTCGGTGGCGACACTCATCGTACGTTTTAGGCTCCTTGGATGATGCTCACAAACACCAGTTTTACGAACAGCGAAAAATTCTTTACAAAACCATTGCCCTTATCTGCCTGACTTTGAAACTCTAGCATTAGCATTCAGCTGCTCGGCCAGCCAGTCAGTAAGCAAACCCCTCTGCGTAGGGGAGGTTGGTGCAATGATCCATCTCCAGGAGGTAAGCAGGGCTATCCTCAAAATGTGTCAGAGGCAAAGTGTCATCCTCGTTGACATGGACATCGGGCTCAGCCTTCAAGAAGGGGCGTTGATTGTCCGGGTAGGCCATAGAAAAGAGGGCATCTGGATCGCAGACAAATTTATACACGTACCGCTCTCCAGCCACCTGGAAATAGAGACAAAGGTTTGCATGAGGGGGCAACTATAGAGGGAGAAATAGCATGCACACCACGTAGCACCAACAGGACCAAGTCTCCTTTGGTAAGAGACACTGCTGGTGTTATGGAAGGAAGGATGCAGAGAACGCGATCCAAAGGGATGGAAGGGTCCCTTCAGCAGACTGCCCATTGGACAGGCATGAAAGAGGCAGAAGGGAAAGATTTGGCAGAGGTTTTTCCAAGAGGAACCTAGGGAATTTGCACGTTTATCTTCCACTTAAATCTGAAGGGGAGGTGGGCCTAAGCCCCTTCATGTGCTTTCAAAATCTCAGCTGCCACACATGACTCAGGGAGCGTAGGCGTATGCTACAATGGAGCGTCTCAGTGCTTCCCCTCCAAATCATCACCTCAAACCATCTCTGCCTTAAGAACAAGGCACTTTAACGAGCGCCCACTCCATACCAAATTGAGCACAACGATGGGTTTGTTCACTCGGTCCCCAAATACACAGCTACACTCATGTTTGCAGAGCTCCTTGGTTTAAAGGAAAACGCTTCTCTCCCCATGGAGAAAAGCAGTGCAGTGTTTCCAAGGGCTTTTTGTTGATGCTATTGTTAAAAAAAAAAAAAGGGGTCTCTTGAGGCTAAATCATCTGGATAAACACGCTCTTAAGTTCAGAAGTGCTTCATTGTACAATTTACTAGAGCAGTCTCCATGGCTACTTGCAGCTAAGACAAGCAGGAATAAAAAGTTAGGGTTGATCTCCACAATATCATGCCCCTTTCAAATGTCTGCCAGACTAGCAAAATAGAAACTACACAACACCAAGAGGACCGTGCTTATACCAGGGCAGCTTCAGGCCCCACTTTCAGGGTCAAAGCAGCCACATTGAATCCTGTACAAAAAGTTGTGCTCCTAACCACACTGAGCCCTGTACCAAACTTGTATGGGCAGTGGGTCTTGGTCACCTGGGATTTCCATCTCCATCTCGACACTGCTGTGCCTACAGCCTGCGGAAGAAGGTAAAATGGAACCCATGCCTCCTTCAGGCAACAATGCTCCTAAGGCAGCAGCAACTTCCTACTGCCTCCTTCTGGCTTAATCACTCCCCTCTTCCAGGTTTCTCTTCCCACAGCCTGGGGAGCCAACCCTTGCTCCTGCACAGTTTTACTGCCAGTCACAAGTAAGGAGGCCTCCCCTGAATTTGAACCAAACATGGTCTGTGAGTGCTGGAAGCACCCCATCTCCCCACCCACAGGAAGGCTCCACTTCAACCCCAAGCACCAGGCTTTCTCTGGATAGGAAGCAACGAGCCACTTGCCTTCTGCATGATCCCCTTTTCGTAGTAGTAGCGCAGGGAACGGCTGAGCTTGTCATAGTTCATGGCAGGTCGGTTCTTCTGGATTCCCCAGCGGCGAGCGACCTGGAAGGAAAGGAGATGGCAGTGAAGACCCAGCAGTAGCTCCAAAGGCTGTGCTGAAGTCAGACACTACTGAGAGGGTGACGTCCCAAAGACCTGGGAGGTCAGTGCCCCTCGACAGGCACCAACCCAGGCGCCAGAAACAGGCTGCTAGCCCACCTAAATGCTGCACGCATCCACTGCCTGCTCTCACCTCTCCAGTGCTCTCCAAGGGCCACGGCTATGGGAAGCGGGACTAGGCCCACGAACAAACTGCCCTTACATTACAGCACGAGGAAACCATAGCGACCTTATGACCAAAAGGCAAAAGGCTCAGGATGCTGTTAACCAGCCCCCTCTTGCCCCTGCCCAAGAAGTAGTTATTATACTACCTGCAAGTGGCTGAGCAAATCAACAGCCATTAGCCCTGCGGTTTCTGCTGGAGTCAATAAAGAATCATTAGAGTGGTCAGCTCTGAAACCTTAGATGAGCGCCCCCTCCGCCCCCCATCACTTGCGAGTTGCTCCTGAGCTGCGAGTGCACCAGCTCATTTCTAACAGCTTCCCGCAGCAGCCGGAAAAGCTTGACTCAATTTCAGTTCCCGTCGGGAGCAGGAATCCAAAGACATAAGCCTGCTGCCAGCCAATCCACCGCTTCCCAGGGGACCTTTGGCACCAGCAATAAGCCATGCAGCGCCATTACCCACTCAGAGGGAGATTGATGGGATTGCTTAGCACTAAGTGCTTGAATCCAAGCCCTGTCCACCAGAGGCATTATGACGGTGGGGAAATGTCAGAGGCCCAGGGCAGCCATCAGAGCCACACATGCAGTTTTAGAGCCATCCAGGGAACACAGCAGACAGCAGGGCGGCTCAGCTCTCCCAGGGTGCTCCAGATGGAAGGCCTGCTTTTACTTGCCAGTGTCAGCTACAGAATAAACCAGTGAGAAGCGTGCATCTAGCACGGTCCCTTCTGCCATATCCAAAACCCACCATGGGCACCCCATAACCACGCAGAGTTTTAACAGGAAGATGGGTCCAGCCCTCTACCGACTCTTCCCATCCTCACCACACAAGATGGGGAAACCATCTCTTGCTGCCCACGCGCCAGGCCAATCTAACGGGCTGCAGTAGCATATGGCAGGCCATGAATGGCACGTGCCCTTGGCGGCTGGGGGGGCACGGCTGCGCTGGCGGTGGCGGGAGCGCGGCAGTGGTAAGAATGGAGCTCCCGCAGACGCCACCGGCACTGTTGGCAGCTGGGGGGGGTGCAACATGAGCACCAACCAGGGGTTGGCAACCACCCAGAAGCTCTGATGGCAGTAGGGTGGCAAGCGGTGACCACCCACTGGCGCTGCTGACAGTGTCAGCAGTGCCTTTTTCTAGGGGGTGCACCGCCACACTCAGGGTGTGCACATGCACCCGCATGTACCTCTTATGCGTCACCCCTGTGGCAGGCTGACTTCTTCCGTGACTCCTTGACCGCAAAGATGCAGGCACAAGTGACAGAAGAGGAAGTTACAGCCACCACCCCCTGCTTGCCCCGTCTAGCTACAGCCACGACAACACACGCTGCCCCAAGGAGCACCAAACCCCTCAGCCTGGTTCTGCGAGCGGGTCTGCAACAGGAGCGTTCTAGGGCACGCCGCGATGTTCAGTCGCACGCTCTCCATCACCGCTTATCCACACAAGGACAAGTCGGTGCATTACACATGGCAGCCCTGTAGCTATGGTTACACAATCAATTCTGGGCACAGGGGCTTCACTGACACAGGAGGCCCCAGAAGAGCTTCTTTGCCTCTGCTGCGTGATAGCACATGCTGATGGATCCTGAGCACATGCTTGCTGCTGGCCAGGTGCTCACTTTGGGGGACCAGCAGGGCTCAAGGGCCTGCTCCAAGCACCTAGACAGCAGAGAGGCTTGCCTTCCCTACCACACCTCCCCATGCCCTGGGGAGGTGTCAGGAATCCAGGGTGAGGAGGCAGTCATCTCTCCTCCTCCTTCAGCAACCACATCCCAGGGACCAGCCCTCCTCCTGCAGCCTAGCTCGGCCACATGCATTCCTCCCCCCTCCCCGAATCCATTCCTCTCAAAAGGCAACAAATGCAGATTCACAGCGAAAGCATTTCCAGATGAAAGTGCAGCCTGTCATAATTCAGAGAGTGCTAAACTGGAGGACTATCAAAAGACATTTGATTAGGGAGCTGGCCAAAAAAGCCGTTTGAAAAACCACAATTTCCATGCACGGCGTAACAGATATTATGGATAATTACCCACCATGCACCACGCCGCTCTGCAGCTGGTTTCAATTACTCCTCAAACGGCTTCTTCCTCTGCGTCACCCTACAAGCTCGCCGTGACACTCCTTACGAGTACTGCAGAGGGTCAGTTATGAAACCCAGTACCTCCGTGGCAATCCTGGGACACAGCCCAAGCCACAGTGGAAACTAACAGAGGAGGCTCTTCGTGGATGTGGGCTGACAGTGATGCATCTGACCAGCTTCTGCTCGTTAACAGAAGGCAGCTACAAGCAGCAGAGAAAGTCTGTATGGCAGAGACATGGAACCATGCTCCAAGTTATGCAGGGACATTTCTGGCCTGCTTGGGAGATAGCACGGCAAGGCCCAAAGGGCTCCCCAAGGACAGGCTGGGACTCTAAGCAGACAGCCCAGCGGCTGGGCTTTAGGCTTAGTGCGTGGCCCTGCTGAGAAGGATTGATGGGAGAAGGTTTGATGCACAGCTGTCACACAGGGCCCACAGCCGGGCTTCCCTGCAGTCACTGGGCCAGTGCTACAGCCCCAGGGCAGCTGTGGCAAAGCAATGAAGAGCCCTGGCTGCAAACCAGGATGAATCCATACAGGCTGCAGAGGAGCGGCTTCCACAAGAGACTGCTGTCTTACAAAGGCAAAGAGCATCTCCTAGCCTGGGGCAGAGAGCCTGCATTGCAGGTGGGAAAACTTTCCTAGGGAGTTAACCCAAGCAGGGCAGAGCACATTGACACACCAGAGTCCCAAGACCAGCTCTGGGGTTCAGCTATTTGACACTGACCAGGGGCTTTGTGGAGGCGAGGAGGAGCATGCATCTTCCACACCACGCTGCCGAGAAGAGTAGGACCAGTGCATGCGTGTATCACTCAGGAAGGCAGAACAACTGCTCCAGCTGCTTCAGTGGAGGCCAAGCACTGGCTTTTCACCTTTAAAACCACCTCATCCTGCAAACAGACTCTACTGACCCCAGGGCACGAAGACTGGCAGGACACACCAGAGCCACCCTCTCACTGCCTCTGGCAGCTGTGGTGGTGCAACCTGTCCTGGCATCTGCTGAGATCCCTTCAGAAAACTACTGTAGCCCTGGCTGCTGGAGAGATGCCTCCATGCTGCTCCTGTTATATACCACCACGTGGCAGCAGCGCTGGCCCACGTCGGCTGGCACTCTTGAGCCCACTCTTCACCTCTCACTCAACTCAGGGGTGACTCAAACTCACTAGGGACTGCTGAAAGGTCACCATGAACCATTTCACTGCTGGACAATGCTGCTCAAGGCCAAAACCCAACCATCAATCTCACCCCACAGGCCTACCAGGCTGCCTCAATGACAGAAATGCAGCCTCCCATCCCCACCCAGTCTGCCAGTGTGAAGCAGGCCCCACTGCCAGCCTCACCCAGTTCAACAGAGCCTCACAACTTTTCCAGCTGTGATGACGTACGACACTACCTGGGCTGCTGTTGGGCCCAGCGGACCCACCCCGGGCACTGCCATGGGACATACTACACAGACACGTAGCGAGGCAGCCACATACCATTTCTGCACCTCGCAGTGGTCCCACACCCCTTGCCCTCCCCAACCAGCCTAGCCAAACCCAGCATCTTCCACCAGGGAGATTTACTTCTGCTCAGTTACAGGTGAGCAGTCAGTCATACAGGAGAAGGCAAGATCCAGAGGGTTATTTCCAGTCAAGGGTTTAACCACCCAGATTCAACCCCAGGCAAAGTCTTTGGCTGCTCCCCGCCCCCGTGGCATCCTGACCACTGAAGGGAGGCAAGGCTGCCTGGAAACCAAGGCCTTCACGATACAGCAAGAAACTAAGCAGCACTTGCAAAAGCAGGTGGTGCTGGGGAGTCCTGCCATCAGGTCTGTACCTCTTCAGGCTCGATCAGCTTGAACTCCATGCCCCGGCCCGTCCAGGCGATGAAGTGGGCGTTGGCTGGGTCATCCAGAAGTGTGACCAGGAACTGCCAGAGCTGCAGAGACCCTCGTCTCTGGTATGGGGGCCCCTCCCGATAGATGGTGGGCTCTTGCTTCACTTTGCCTGCACAGGTCGAGACAGGTTGTTAGGTCACATGCCTCTGGTGCTGTGCTCAGCCAGGCGCCCCCCCCACCCCCCTCTAGCCCCTCTAAACCATGGCGGCCTGCCACCACTAGAGGAGCCATGCCAGGGTCTTCATCAACTCAACTGTGCAGGGCAGCTCCCTGACCCACCCCACTATGTCCCCACCATTGCATCGCGCTTACCTTCCAGCCTCTCTGGCACCACACATGTGTCATCAAAGTACAGCCGGGCATCTTTGTCATAGGAAAACCCTAGAGGGAAAAGCAGGCCCGTTAGCTAAGTGCAGCATCCTATATGGCCCTCTGCAACCCAGAGCAGCCAGGAGAGCCACCCATGGGACGTCGGAAAACTCAAGGGACATGGGTTGGACCCCATCTATGCTCAGGGGAAGCCCCATTTTATTCATCCTCTGAAGTTTAAGACCAAATGTGACCCCCATGCCAGTCTGGCCCAAGGCCCAAAACAGGAACTCCTAGAGGCCACCCCTTGTTCTGAAGGAAAAAAATCTTTAAAGGAACTTTCCATCAAACCTAAAGCCTTGTTCCACAAGCCTTCGTGGGTGGCTTCAGAGAGCAAGCCTGGTCTTTTTAGACTAGAGGTTCACGTCAGCAAGCAAGCTGGAGCCCTCACTGCTGCTGGAGCCCAGTTCAGGTCTGTTGTCCCCTCCTCTCCCCTCCCCTCCAGCAGCTGCAGTAACCAGAGCCCTTGTTGTGTTTGCATGGGGGCAAGTTACCTCACTTCAGACCATATAGCACGTAGCTCCCTCCCTAAATCAGAGGAGTGCCAAGCAGGCAGCCCTCGGGGAGCGTGGTTGAGAGAAGCTGTGCGGTTTCTCTCCCCAGCTAACAGCTGGGATGGTCTGTTAGCTCCGGTGAGGCGGCAGTTGGATGGAGATACGCTATTAGCAGCTGCAGAGGCAGCAGGCAGCATCACTGCCTAGCACCCCCAGCTCAGGGGGCAGGAAGGAAGGTGTCCTGTGGGCTGAACTGCGGGTGCAGAAGGAGATGGGAGTCCTCGGTGAGAGGCAGATTGGATCTCTAATCAAAGCTGGCTCGCTTCTCCATCTGCATTCATGGGACCGCACCCAGTGTGGCAAAGGAGTGATAGCAGGCCTCAGCCAGGTGGCAGGGGCCTGCTAGGCTGGCACCGAAGCACTCGTTACTCTGAGGTGTTGAGAGCGCCGCTTCAGCAGGCAGAAAAGCACAGGGCAGAGATGCTGCAGCCTGCATGTAGCTTCAAACACTTCCTCCAAGCACCTGCCCTGACCTTGCTGTTGCAGGGAGATGAACCTTGCTGCCGGGTGCTGCCTGGGTTTGGTAGCAGTGCAGTAGCACCTGCTTACACAGCAGCCCAGCCCCAGAAGGCTCCTTTTCCCTGGGATGCATTTCAGTGGCCCCTGAGGGAGTCAGGGGGTGCCCCTCCATTCATCAGCTGCCATGGCCAGCACAGCTACCAGCACCATGCAGATGCCTTGCCTAGGGACTAGGGTCAGTGATGCTCAGTGGGACTCAGGCTGCCTCAGACCTCCTGCCCACAAGCACCACTGCTGTCAAGAGCTGGAGTGAAGCATGTCAGAAGCAAGCTGACAGCCAGTGCAAACCTCTTTGCTTTTCAGTGGCCATTTTGGGGATTTCTTGGGTAACCAACTGCCTGGGAAGGCAGAGAACTGGAGTCAGTGACCCCAGGTACCCTTCTGATTTCTCCTGTTAGTGATAGGAAGGAGAAACTCTGTGCTGATCCTGCCAGGATCTTGGCAGCTGGATTGAGCAAGAAGTGCCAGGCAACAGCCACCCTCACATTCACCCAGCCTGCCCCCTGGCCCTCTCCCTTTTGAGAATGCCAGCATCGTACTACCCCTTGACTGCATCTGGTCATCAGTTCCCATTTTTCTACCCAAGCCAAGAGTGCACAGCCAGCCCTTGCCCCCTCCCTGATACATGTTGTCCCATGCCCATGTGAGCACAACTCACCATCATGGCTGCCGGGGAAGTAGCCCCCTCCTCTCATGTACGAGGACTGGCAGGTAGGCACTTCTGAAATGGAGATGGAGGCTGCGTTAGTGCCTTGCTGAATGCAATAGGCTTTGCACGGTCAGGCTAGAAAAGCAGAAGCAGCCTGATGGGGAAGTGCAGGACTGCATGATCACACCAAGGCCCACACAGACCTGCTTCGAGGGAGCAGAGCCCACAGCATCTGGATAGACCAGCTTCAACCCCTTCCCAGACTAAGGCCACCCCCTGCTCCCCGGCCTACGCTGGTCTGCTGCCTGCTTCGCCAACAGGAAGCCAGGCAAGCCCCTGAACACAACAGCTCTGACATGGAAGAGTTAACGCAAAAGGCAGCTGTTGTTCCAGGAACCACTTGCTGGCAAGATTGATCTTTAACTCGCATTTGCTTTTACTTGCCACTTCCCTGAAAGGGTTTCCTCTCTTGCCTTGAAAACTAACAGCTTAAAAAAACAAACAAACCCACCAGCACAGCAGGTTTTAACTCTGAACTTTTCCTTCCCTGCTCCCATGTCAAAACTATTTACCACTTGATTTTAGATGGGCAAGACGAGCTGAACCAGAGAGAGGACTCCAGAGAGTGGTACTGCATTTGTGGATGTTGATACGCTACCAAGGAAGGCATGTATATTGTTCCTAGAAGTCTTTATAAGCCACCTCCTCTGCTCTCATCCGCCTACTCCAGCTGCCTCCCTCCACCCCTCCCTCCCCCTTCATTCCCTTTGCAAGAACATCCCTTTGGTGACCACAGAGAGAAGCCACGGCTACAATACAACAGGGCAGGCGCTTTTCCTAGTTTGGAAGAGATCCACAGTAAAGTGGCAGCCTGCAAAGGTCGATGGATATTCTCAACAGGGGAAAGGTCATTTGCAACAGCCTTCATTACAAAAAAAAAATAAGGCTCCTTTTAACCCCCCCCCCCCCCCCCCCCCCCATGGCTCAGGCCATATAAAGAGGGAGAGGAATGGAGATAACAAGGGTCCTTAAAAAAAATAAACCCTTGCAGCTCCTCTTCCACCCCCCACCTGCTCCAACTGGTAGCTGATGACCAGGTTCCATCCTGAGGTCACAGTATTTTTAGGCTTAATGCGATTAGAGGATTTGCCATCGTGAGGCGGGTGGGGCCCTGCACCAACAACAGACAACAACAGAAATCACACAACTGGGCAGCATGGTTGGCACTGGGGGGGCTCTCTCCCCTCCCTGAGGGAAGCGATGGGCCTGAACCCATCTAAATCAGTGGCGTGCCCCAATAACCCCCCTGCATGGTGCCTCGGACTAGGGGACTCATGTCGCATCGCAGATGGCAGCTCCCAGCTACGTGGACCCCTGAAGCTTAGTCATAGCAACACCTGTCAAAGGCCAGGGGCTTATTTATGTATTAAGTGAAAACAGAGATAAATCTGTCCTTCTAGCTAGGTGAAAAGGTTGGTGGCAGCAAGTGGGAAGCAGCTCCCTCTGTCCCCAGGGGAAAGTGCCAAAGCTGCCCGGGCCATTGCTTTAACATGACACTTGAGAACGGTGGAGAGGAAGTTGCCAGGTAAACCTCAGGAGCGGCGGGTGGGCTGGCCGCAGTTATTTTTAACTTGCTGAGAGCGGCAGGGTCTATGCACCAACATTCCCCCCCCGGCAGCCCCCCCAGCCTCAGTGGGTAGATGGAAGAGATAAAAGGCTGGCTCTGCTCTCATTCCGAGGCGTGCAGATCAGACAGGACTTGCAGAGCTGGGACGTGGCCCTCGTTCCCCTCCAGATGTGCAGCATGGCATGCACATTGCTCTCAGCTGCTGGTCTACTTGGCACTGCGGCTACGCCGAAGGGCTAAGGCAGAGCTCCGCTCCAGCAGGGCTGTGGGCCCTGGCACGAGGGATTTGCTTCCCTCCTCACCTCACTTTGGGGTCTGGCAGTTGAACTAGTACCAAACAGGGACATGTAGCAGCATATGGTGGGAGTCTTGCTTGAAGCAAGGTTACAGCCTGGGATATGCTCCCACAGTGTGTGTGCAAATACACTCTTAGGGCCTCGGCATGGGGGTGGGAGGTCTCTTCCCTAGTCCCAGACAGTCCCTCACAACCTCCATACTGAGGGCCCAGCTCTCATACTGACCTGAGTCAATGCAGTAATCCCTGGGTTCCTGCTTAATGCCCATTGGAGACTGGAACCCATGCCTGGCAGGCCCAGGGATGCCCGGGACCCCATGATCATAGAGGGGATCATGGTACTCCTGTTTGAATCCCTGAGGAGGGTGGGGGGCAACAGGGACGATTGGCTCCGACATCTGCCTGTGGTAGACAGGGCGATTGTCTCCAGGGACCCCTGGCTGAGGGGGAAAAGGATGGCAGGGTTCAGACATCTGTCGCTGGAACCTAGGAGGGAGGGAAACACAAAGACATGGGGAAAAAAAGATGTTACCCTGGAGGGCAAAAAACACGTGTTCCCAGCATAGGCAGGCAGTCCAGGCTCCACTGGGGTCACGGAGCTTGCTACTCCAATTAGAGGTTAACAACCCAGGCCTATTTTTTTCACTGGGAGATGCCATCCAAGGCATTCCTACGCAAGCGACTGCAAGCGCCAACACTGCCAGCTGCCACACAGAATAACCACAGACAGGGGACACGGCAATAAGTGCAGAGGGGAACAAAGGGCCATGCTCCCCTCCTAGCACCGGAGACAATCCTGCCAACAGCTTTAGGCAGGCCAGGGGACCTCTGTAAAATGCAACAAGAAGTGGAGTAGACTGTCCAGGGATGTCTTACTCCCAAAGCTAGGGAGCAAGACCTCAATGTGATGGGTCTGGGGCTGTGAAAAGGACAGTGAGCAGCTAAGTGTCCAACACCACATGCTGGGGATGAATCTCTGAGAAAGCCCTCATAACATCTCTTCCTTGTGAAAAATGGTGGAAGGTTCACCAGTTTTAAGGCCAGAAACTTACTCATCCCCAGCAGATGTGACTGTAGCTCTCCAAGTGGCCTCCCAAGGAAGAAACAAGCTGTTGATGAGAACTACAACTGCCACAAAGGACTCAGTTTTCTCTAATGGGGTGAGAATGTGTGGGGGAAAGAACAGTTAAGATGATGAGCTTAGTTTGAACTTGATAACAGACTGCAAGGACCCCACCATCACCAGCTCATAAAGCAGTGACCAGTTACCCAGTAGATCTGGAGGGACTGAAGTTAAATTCAGAAGTCAAGCTGTTCTTATGCAGACCAAAAAGAGACCTTGTGACTGCCTACCTATACCCCCCACACCCCTTGGGTCCAGCCAGTTCTGTTCCTCCGCTGCTAAGGGAGCCACCCCCAGGCTGTGTCCAGTAGGGGACACCCCAGGACCACTCCCCTACCCTTGTTTCCTGGAGCACCTACCATCTTTACTGGGGGGAGTGGGCAGGGGGAGAAAGGCTTTGGGCACAATGATCCATTTCCCACTCTTCGCTCCTTTGTGGCGACTTGCATAATGTGAGTTCAAGCACCAGAGAGAATCAACCAAGCCCTGTCCACATCAAGGGAATCAGACTGGCACATGCAGCTGTCTCTCCTTCCTCAACTTCTAGGCCTTGCACAAAAATCTCCTCTTGGTACCTCACCTGGTGCTCAAGCAGATGAGAGACAAGTCCCCATCTCCAGGAAAGTCAGGAAGCCCTTTCCATATTTCTGGCAGAGGGAGAAGTTCAAAATGAAGACACAGAGGAGAGAGGGGCCCTGTGGCAAGTTTGCTCCCATGGAGGACTGGACACATGTATAAATGCTCAATCCATTTAGCAATCAACGGAAGACAAATGGCTGCTAACCTGCCTCTGAGGCTGGGATTAAGCCTTTAACATGCTAAGGTGGGAACAGAGCACATTTTCCCAAAGGCCATATACCTTGGAGCTCACGCAGATGCTCAAGATGACAAGCTCCTGACATGGCCCACTCAGGGCAACCCTCAAACAACTCAGTACTGAAGAACCAGCTCCTTTCAGGATTCTGCTCCCCTAACTCTTGAACTTCCCCCTTCTGGCCTCTCAATTCAAGGATGTTGCTAAACCACGTGCCTATGTGCAGCCCAAGTCCCATTTCTCACACCAGGGAATCACTCATGTGTGACTGGTGCCACCTTACTCGGGGTGGGGGGGGGGGGGCCCCTGTGCCTCCCCTGCGAGCAGTCCCACTGACTGGTGGGGGTCCCTCCGTGGCCGATCTCACTGCCTGGGGGGACCTCTGCAATCAATCCCACGACGGCTGATCACTGCAGTCACTTCCGGGAGCGGCTGCAGCTGAGGCCACTTCTGGGAGCGGCTTCAGCAATTGGCTGGCACTTGCCGGGGGGACACCAGTGCTCTCGCCTGCCCCACTGCCCATCGCCTAAGTGGCGAGTGTGGCCAGTCAGGGGGTGCACATGCACCCCCTTGTGCCCCCTGCGTGTCGCCACTGGAATCACTGCCATCCACAGGGAGGAGAGCGCAGCTTCCATGGCCCTATTTTTGACCTTACAGGGGCTAAGTGCTGACAAGCTGGAGAGAGGTGGATGGGAGCCCTGCCTGGCGTTTCACCACGCACGCGCAGAGACTCCAGTGCCCTAGCAGATTAACACCTTGAAAGGCGATCTGTACAAATCCATTCCCTTTGCAAGCACCCCAAGGCCTGCACGGCATTTGGCCTTGTAACCGGATCCTCTGCAGCTGACAGGCCTGGATTACTGCACTTCCGCTGGATGTCCCTCTAACCTTCCAGACTGAAACTCTAGCCCTGCACTGGCATGGCCTCTGTAGGAAGTGGCACTTCCAGATGAGGCCGAGTCAATATCCCAAACATAGCTGTAAGGTCGTCTGCAGCTCAGAGCCCCATGGTCTGCAAAGCAACCTCAGATGTCATTCACTCAGGGGGGTTTTTGGAAAGAGCTGTGGTGGGGAGGAAGATGAGAGCAGAAATATGCAGAGAGGTAAGCTCGTCTTTTGAAGCCCAATGTTGATTTATGTTCCTATGGCTTCCACTGGTGCAGCTTAGCCAAGCATTTTCCATATCATCCTGCTTATGATAAAATTTGTCCAACTTTTTTATGCCCTGACCTTCATGTGACACAGAGCCCTCCCTCCTCCAGGCCCCTCTCTGAGGGACTGATCTGCATTCTGCAGGCAGGACCTTTAAAAAGAAGTCCCTTGTTTACAGAGACCAAACAAGTTAAACCCTACAGATACAGGTACAGCTCTGTTTCTACAGAGCCTTTTTCTTTCCACTTCCCCACTCTTCCAGCAGAACTGGCCTCTACAGGGTTCTCAGCCTTAAACATCCACAGCAGCTCTTCCAAGACAAAGAACTAACTCAAAGGAGAGCACAGACTTCCTGGTTCCTAACCTAGGCAAAGTAAGGCCCACAGCTTGCTCTAAAAGGCCTAGCTAAATATTGGATATGGACACAAGAACAGAGGGAAAGAAAGAGTTACTGAAACTATGCTGAGCTAAGATGCTGCTTCTGCATGTTTTAGTCATAGCTGCTGGTCTGAATGGGCAGCCACATTCCACACAGCTCTCCCAGGGAAACTGGAGACAGGCAAATTTGATGCAATAAGATGGATCTGCAACTTGGCAAGAGTCAAATAGAATAAATTGCTAATTCTTCGGCAAGAAACTGGAAATGCCGACTTAAGTGGGAAGCTACCATGACCTCGGGCAGCAGTGAGCTCGCCAAATGCCAATCATTTTCACCAACACATACTAAAGGGAAGGACAACAAGCACTTGTGAGGATGTTATGAGGAGGGATAGAGCACATCTAGGCAAGCTGAAGTGGGATAGAAACGCGTACAAACATGGAAGATTAAGTAAGGACAAGTGTCCAGCAACTCCCACACAAGACAATAGCAAGACTCATGTATGTGCAAGCAGGAGCTAGGCAAAGGTATCAAAGAAACAACCTTGGCTCTGTGTTGATAAGAAACTGAGGTGGGGTGTGGAGGGGGCAGGAAATGAAAGGAATGTTCCTTTTTCTTTTTTCCCCTGCAGGACATACAAATAAGACACAGTACTAAATCCTCTTAGCCAGTCCCCTACACAGTGTGGAGGGGGTAGTTAGAACTGGGTGAGGATACCTACTTAGTTCTCAGTGAGCTTCCAAGTGAGTTATTAGGTGAGCTGGGAAGAGAACCTGCACCTTCCGCCTCCTAGTCTGGGGACAGATGCACTGGTGGGCACTCATGGTGGGACATTTTCCTCACCAATGGCTTATAGCCTACAGTTAGAGTTTTAAAAATGTATCCTCACTCAGGCAAGCAAAGAAGGTTCTTAGTGTTTTCAGACTCTCTACAGGACACATCCCATAAGATGCATTTCCCAAATTGGAGCTTTGTTTAGATGGAGCAAGGCTGGGAGTGCACCTCAGCAATCTTGAGCAAAGCGCATTACAGGGGTATCTCTAAAACAGGCACTGCTAAACTTACACTCCTGAGTTATCCAACCCTGTTGATAAATGGAAACAGAGCAGGCACACAACCAACTCCAACTGAGCCCTGCAGTGACACTATGCAGGGTTAGCAAAGACTCATGGTGCTTCTACAACATTTCACTTGCCCATAACTGGCAGCAAGGATGGAGGGAATAGGGGTGGCCAAGCTCCTATTCTCCAATAGCCTTCCAAAGATTGGGCACTGCCAGAAGACCCTGACCAGCCTCCAGGGGCAGGGTAACTCCCTAAAACTGTTTTACAGGCCAGCACTTTGTGAAACAGCTAAAGAGAGAGTCCATCTACTCAACTTCTGGGCTGGAAGGCACATATACCACTGGTATGGCAGAGAAGTAAAAGTTAACAATGGTTAAGGAAACTAACTGGGGAAGGGCAGGAAACCTGCTTGACACCATCCTGCATAGGACAGATAGCAGCAAAGTTACACTGTGACAAGCAGAAAGGCACAATCCCTCCTGGAAAAGCAGAGGTAGTTGGGAAGGAACATGGACTGAGTCAGTGCTTAAACTCTCATAGTCTGCCATAAATCAGCACCAGTCTCTTTGAGCCCAGCTGAAAAAGCTGGACTCTCTTGGGGAGAGGCAGCAAGGCACAGGCAGCATGAGGTTTGTGTCAACCCCCTGCTGTTGTCTTGGGGTGGAAACAATGGTAAGTTAGGGTGAATGTGGCAGCAGAGCACCGACTGGTTTGGAGAGATGCCTCTCAAGGAAGCAGAAAGCAATAAAGATCTTTGCAAAAGGTGACAAATGTTGCATCAAGCCCTTTTAAAAAAAAATCCCAAGATCTGCAGTTTTCATCCATCTTTTGATTTCTAAAAGGAAGAGAAACAGACAAAAGCAGAAGTGATCTGCTTGGTTATAAGGATGGGGCATCACATGGCCCTGATCAGGCGTGTTTGATCCTCTGTTTGTCTGTCCCATACTCGCCAAAACGACACTCAGCTGTTAAATTCTGAGAAAAGGGATCAACCTGCTGGGTTTGGAGAAACTTCTGCTTGGTCTTAAGAGAAGAGAAAAGCACACGTTTGGTCTAGACAGAAGGCAAATGGTGCTTGTTACCTGTGCTCTGTTGGATACTGGTTTTCAGGCATCATCTTTGGCATTTGCATGGGTGGATGAGGTGGCCGGGGCACTGCAAACGTTTGCTGCCTTGGTTCCTGAAGAGAATGAAGGGCAGGTGCAGTTGATGCTGGGGGAGCCCCCCGCAGCGGGCCTGGAGGCGCGACATGGGCCGCGGTCTGCACAGACGGAGGTGGTGGAGGGGGCGGAAGCGACGAGTTCTGATGGGCGGGCGACACGGGTGTAGCAGGTGGGGTTACTGGCTTGAACCCGGCTTGGGGCTTTCTGTCATAGGCACTGCAAATGGAAGACAGAAAGGACCGTGATGTTGCAAGGACCACAGGAGCAGTCTCCCGACACTGCTCACAGCTACCCAAGCCTGCTAGTGTTTCCTGGCTGTTAGGAGGCAGTGGCACTAACACTGCTGGGTTGTGAGCAGCCCCCAGGGAAATCTCTGTACCTCAGAGAAGCAGCAGGCAAGATAGGTCCCCATGATGAAGCCTCAGATTTCCCACAATCTTTCCCCTTCCAATCACGTGTGAAAAAAACAAAAAACCCAGCTCGTCATATTTAAACCTTTCCCTA